TAGAGACGGCTCTCCCAAGGGGATGGGCAGCCGGACAAACGACGTTTTCTCCTCCTGCAAGCACTGGACGGCCGGTGACTTGCTGACGTACACCCCAAGAGGGCAGTCAGACATCCCTCCGCCCCCGTCTTGGTCCAGCACCACTCCAAAACCCACATAGCCCCCGAAGCTGATGTGAGACAGCAATGACAGCAGCACCCACCCGTGAGCTGTCCCCACTCAGGATGCCTGTCAGGACACCACCAGTAGCCTGCTGGTCCCTCCCACCCCCACTGGTCCTCCACCACCTCTCCGAGCTTCAGCATCTTCATTTCACACCAGTTGCTTTTAAGAGAGGCTGCCGCTCAGATGTGGACCACATAGGGCCACCAGATACTACCCCGGGTAGACAGGATTTGAGGCTATGGCGCCAGTGGCCATGCTTGCCCACCCCTTGGCCTTTTACCAGCTTCTTCAGGAGCGAGACAGGGTCCCTAAGGGAGGTGGCACAGTGCAGGGCAATGTCTACTGCAAGACTGAAGACAGGCAACAGCTGCCAGCCCTCCCAGGACAAAGCCAGACTTGGAAGAAAAAAACCTGTTTTGTTTTTTTTTTTTTCAAAAACAACATAAATTATGTAATATTATCAGGGATTTACTGATATTTGCTATATCACTATATCCCCCGTCCCTGCTCTTGCGGGATGAAGGATCATCTCCTTGTGCCCTACAGTTTGCAGCCCTGCAAAGTAGCCCCAGAGGATTCGAGGTAAGATGGGATGCCAGAAACCAACCAAACAAACAGAAAAAGTGGGATTTCCCTGGGCTTTGCAGATCAGTCCCCTACTGCTGTGGATAAACGGGGCTGGCTGTGGCCTTGCTCTTGAAATTAGAGAAAATCAGCGTGAAGAGAGGCCAGCAGCTTGGTGTGCCCTGCCTTGGGAAGCATCCCTGCTCCCAGGCTGGGGTGGAGCCCCGGGGGAGGAGCCCCATCCCCAGTGCAACCTACCCCTGCAGGCACCGCAGCTGTTGCTGGTGGAGCAGCTGGACCCTTTCCACGGTTTTATCTCTGCAGGATCCACCTCTGCTGCCAGAACACAGCCAAGAGCAGAACAAAAATTAAAAGCAAACATGCAAAGCTTTGCCACTCAAAGCAAAAGGGGATTATACCCTCTTTTTTTTTTTTTTTTTCTTCAATTTTGAGTGGTGTTTTTACCACTGCAATTAGCCCTGGGGATCCCCTGTGGAGAAGCAAATCCATATTTCCTTGCTTTGCTCATTGCAAGGGAAGTACTTTATTAAATTCTGGTGGTTTGTCTTGTCCTCTTCCAGCCCTGGCAGTTTGTGTAGCTCACGCGATGCTGTGGGCATTGATTCCAGCTGCAGAGAAAAGGGAAGATGGGGAAAAGAGTAATAATAAACTTTAATAAACCTTAATAAAAACCATCACCACCACCACCAATAATAGTAATTTAAGGAAAACACCAAGCAAGCTGTGTTGTTTGGTAGTTGCAAATGTAGCCTGATGGAAACAGGAGCAGGCAGAGGAGCTTGTCTTTCCTCCTGCCTTTGGCCTCTTTTTCCACCTTCATCCCCAGCTTTTCTGGGAAGGGGAATATCCAGGAGATGCCATTTGCTGCTCAATCCACAGGAGGAGTGCTGGAGATCTCAGATCTTGCCCTACAGAGCATCCTAAACTAGCATTTCACCTGGAAAACCTTAGCTCTGTCACCTGCATGGGAAAGAAATGTCAGTGGGTTTGAATTTCCTCATCAGGGTTGCTCCCCAGGGAGAAAGGTGCTCTTCTGGAATGGAGGGACAGGTTAGGGGATGTATGAGTGAGCTTGCAGTGGCCTTCTGGCCCATACCAGTAAAATATTTCACTCAAGAAGAGCTCAGTAACTCTTCATTGCTACAAAATGGGTAAATAGGGTCATTCCCACAGTATTCCTGGAGGGCTTGGCAATGGCAGCCTTTTATTGCTTTAGTAAAACCTGTTGTTTCCCTAGATGACATTACTTTTTTTTTACTTCTGGTAGTCTTTTTCCTCTTTCTTTTCATTTTTCTGTTTTCAGAAGCAGAACTGCAAAATAAGAGGAAGAAAGGTCAGGGCAAACAACGGGCAAAGAAAGGAGACAGAATGTAATGGGTGAAAAATGAAAAAAAAAAACACAACACACAACCAGATTTCTGTTATTTTCTTTTTAAAGTAATTATAAACCAAGATAAAAGTTCCTTTTCAAGGCTGCCTGATGAGAAATGTTCCAAAACTTTCCAGGAACTGCAGCACTCCCCAAACAATGAGTCCTCAGCCCTGAAGCCCTTGCCCTGCCAGCAGCAGTTCGCAGGGTTCATGGTGCTGGTCGGAGGGAAAGATAAAAAGGGCAGGAGGAACGAGATTAATCATGGTTTACTAATTGTGTCTCATGCCGACGCTCT